CTCTGGTGTGGTCAGCTTCTTCTTACCTATCAAATATCTATCGTCTTTATCTCCCCTTATTTATTTTAAAAAGTTTGTCACTCTCTTGTAACACCTCTAATCTTCTGGCGCTCATATGACCTTATGCAATTGCGAGCGTCGTAAAACTCTTACAAAAACTAAACTAAAGTCTTGATTTTAGGCCGTCAGTGGTTTAATTGCTACACATTTTAAACGAAAGGCCAACTGAGAGAGTTTAAAATTAACTGTCAATGGCTAGAGCTGAACGTAACGTGACATAGGGAACGTTTGAAGTAGCCATACCTGGTCTTTTGTTGTAGTCAGAGCATACTTTTGACCAACAAGTTGGGTTCGGAGTCGATTCCTACGATTCCTAATTTTCAATAATCGGGAACCTAATCGTCCACCACTAATAATAATAAATGGTCGCTTTTAAGCACAAAGGGGGGGGGGGGGGGGGGGGGATATCCCGACCCAAAAAATTCTGTTTTGAGAAAATCGAAGTTGTTGGACCCTTGTTCAGTTTCTTTACAACACAAGAAGAGTTTTCTCTTTAACTAAACAAATATACACACTAATTAAACCAAACTTCTCCTTTAGCTGTCCCCGTGGTTTTATGCACTCCGCGTAATTTAGCAAAATTTGATCATTTTTTGCATAATTTCTGATTATTTTCCTTTATCATTCTATGTTAAAATTAACAGAATAGCTTAATTTAACATTTTTGGGGTCCAGTTTGCATAATTTCAGAATTTTTCTTGCATAAAACAAGAGGGACAGCTATAGGTAGGGCAATGTCCACTTTTGGTGTAGGTCATAGAGTTATCTATGGTGTAGGTAAAGAATTCCGGAAACCCCCAAAATCTGAGTTAGCCCGCTTGTCCTTAAAAGCGACCAAATAGCATTTGTGTAGCGCATGTCCCCATTCGAAAGCAGGCTCCAAGCGCTTTACACTATATCATTATTACCCCACCAGACCATGGAACACTCAGAAACATTCTCAGCTTCCTGGGAATCATACAGTGCGAGCAGCTGATTAAGCTCTCAAACACTAACAGACTGACAAGATCTCTCACTGACTATAGCTGGGTACTCATTGTCACCTGGGTGAAGTGAGGAAAATTCGTGTAAAAAGCCTTTCCCAAGGACACAACGTCGGACCCGCGGCTGGAACCCCCGAACCCTCAACCTCACGATTACAAGTCCGGTAGCCTAACCACTAGACCACCGTCACTACACTGTCTTGTTGTGCGTATGCGTGAGTGCACCTAACCTTTGTTGTAGCATCTACTGTCATTGTAAACGACCGAGACAAATTTCTCCCTGCGAGATGAGTAAAGATTGTCATTGTCATTGTCATTGTTATAGAACGGGTAAGTGTAGGCCTATGTATTAAACAAATCATTATTGAATATTATACAGACATGTGGCTTACCGTAGCAGGAGTCCCATTCCAGAGGCAAGAAAAACGATGTTGAAACAATAGCGACAACGACGATGCTGAAACAATAGCGACAACGACGATGCTGAAACAATAGCGACAACGACGAAGCTGAAACAATAGCGACAACGACAATGCAGCCAAGTCAGAAGACTGAACCTATCTATCACAGAAACACGTCGACGCGTTAGTCAGTCCCTGTATCGTTTTTTCTTGGCTGTGCCTTTTGTTTCGGGCTGCCTGTTGTATCTTTTAGTGTATTGACTGTATTGTTGTTCCACCAGCTGACCCGCCACTACTCGCCGAAGTCTCACTCTCTCACTCCTCACTCACTCACTCACTCACTCATTGCCGTTATCCCCGCATTATCCTGCAGACTGCGGCCAGCTCTACATGCGCGGAAATACGGTCAACCGTTGTGCCTGATGCCGCGCCAAACTCCCAGCCTCCCAGTCCTGGTACCTGGTTCACGCTGACTGTATTGTGGGAGGCATCGGTCGTGGCGAAATCAGGCGCTCGTCAAAGATTAGAAGAAATCAGTCTCTCGTCAAAGTAATGAATCGGGCGTTCGTCAAAGTAATAAAATCAAAGAAATCAGGCTCTCACCAAAGTAATGAAATGGAAGAAATCAGTCTCTCGTCAAAGTAATGAAATGGAAGAAATCAGGTACTCGCCAAAGTAATGAAATGGAAGAAATCAGGCTCTCGAAAAGGTAATGAAGTGGAAGAAATCAGGCTCTCGTCAAAGTAATGAAATGGAAGAAATCAGGCACTCGCTAAGGTAATGAATTGGAATAAATCAGGCACTCGCTAAAGTAATGAAATGGAAGAAATCAGGCACTCGTCAAAGTTATGAAATAGAAGAAATCAATCTCTCGTCAAAGTTATGAAATGGAAGAAATCAATCTCTCGCCAATTCTGGTTAGATGTCCAAACAGAGGATTCTTTGACGTTTTGTAAAAAGTATAACTGGTGGTAATTCACATGCCACAAAATTGACGAGCACCAAATACATTATGCCAGGGGAATGGTCAGGGGAAATTATGATTGTCCAGTTCCAGAGCGTTCCACGTCTCATGTTCAGGGGAGGGAGAGGGGAGGGAGAGGGGAGAGATTGGAGGGAGAGTGGAGGGAGAGAGGAGGGAGAGGGGTGGGAGGGGGAGGGAGAGGGGAGAGAGGGGAGG